TTCTTTAGCAGAAGGCTCAATCCCCTCCCCTTTATCATCATTGGCTTCTTTTGAAAATTGTGGATTTGAACTCGAACTTCCACCAGTGGAACAAATGAAAATTCCTTTGGTAAAAGGCCTTGAAGTCATGGTTGTTGAGGTTGTTGTTAAAGAAGTGAGAAGTGAAGTTGTAGGTTGTGTACTGATCACTTTTCCAACAACATTTCCAGTATCATTATCTTTTCACAAACTAGTGCCAACAACTTTTGAAGAACTAAATCCAACACCCTTCTATCCCCTTTAGACCACTTGAGAAACATGTGGGGAATCAGTTGGCATCAAATTCTCCAATCATAACAAAGAATCAATTTCATTCTTAAGATTATTTTCCAATGAAAAAATCATTATCAAAAGCGACTCTTGGGAAACAGAAGAGAAAGGAGACACAGTAAGCTTGGACAAATATTCCTTTAAACTCCCCAATAGCTCTTCTAGTTTGGAAAAAATATTTAAATCATATGCGGACTTCATATCAACCTTGGTGAAAAGAGAATTGTAAAAATCAACAACCTTCATAATAGCATCATCAATTATATCAATCTTAGTATGAAGATTAGAATAATTTTATTCATGTTCAACAACTTCCTTCTTCATAACAGTATGGATCTCCTCAACATTGAAATTTGCATCTTCCTTCACTTTCTTAACATCTTCAACAATGAGAATATGTAACTCTTTGGCAAAATCCCTCAAATCCTTGAGTTCATGGGTAAAAGAATCAGATTGATGCTACAAATGTTCTTCAGTTTTCATTTCAATCCGTTCCATAACTATTCTTAAACAATGTTATTGAGATTTTATTAAGACATCCACTTCGATTCTAGACACACTATTTCGACTCCCAGCATCAGCTTGCAGCTGTAATAAAGAATTCAACTTGTGATTGAGGATCTTGAACTGCTTACCATACATAAGCATGTGATATGGAATAGTTTCCTCCTTAGGATAAAGTTGGATGTCTGCAAAATAAATCATAACGTCATCACCATCTTGACTATCATTTGGAACATATTGTTCTCCTTCAGTGGATTGTGAAGGAAAAAAGGAAGTGATGGGATGATACATAATGTTTGAAAAATTAGGCAAGATAGATGAAGCAGGTAGTGAAGCGGGTGTAGGAGTAATGAATGGTGGTAAGGAAGTAAAAGTATCAATCATAGTTGATTTGATTGTTGAGGAAAGAATAATGGAAATAGGAACATATGGAAATTGTATTGAAGATGTACCTTGGGCTTCAGTAGTCGACATACCATCACCCTTTTTGACATTTGTGTCCATATGAGATATGAGCATAAGGATGTCGGAAGTGTTAACCTCCTCTAAAACTAATTCGGTCATCGACACTTCGGGTGGTATGACTTGTGTTTGCTCAGGGATGGAAAGATTCAAAGGATCATCCAAATTAGTCGTTGTGTCCACATAAGATGCTTACACAGAGCCACTAGGAATTCCAGTTGCCTCGACATTCGAAATGACTGGAGAGCCCCTCTGAGGTGATGCAATGCCCACATTGTCAGTTCGAATCGGACACGAAGTATCCTCGTCTTCAAAATTTGTCTCCACCACAACTTCGTCAACAAAATCATCTATTTGCTTCTTCTTTTTAATTTTCTTCACCATATCAACTGCCCTTCGTTTCTTAGACGCTGGAGAAACTAGAGTTGGGATTTCGCGAATAAGCACCCCCCTTAGATTAATCTGGGGTTTTCGAATCTTTTGTAGCTTTGATGCAAAATACCCCTTAGACGAAGAAAGAGTCTGCTCAGGAACTTCTTCAATAATAGGCCTCAGATTTGGAAAATGTCGAGGTCTATGGGTAGGCTTCTTTATCCTTTGAAGAATACCTTATTTGGATGGCACTATTTCTTTAGTAACATGTTGAACAACATATTCACTAATAGGCTTTGTTACCTCCATTGCCACTGGAAGAGGAACATATTTAGGTTTTTCAACCTTTTAGGACTTTTTAGAACTTTTACCATGCTTTGAAGTGCCCCCAATTCCCTTCAGTAATAACACCTCGACTTTGATATAAAGATTGATTGTAGTAAGATAGGAAACAAGAATAGGATGTGTTGGATCCACCTTGCGAAGCATGGCATCCGAAATGCAAGCAACAGTAGGAAATACTTCTGAATCGTCTGCAAGAGTCTTGGGATGTTGGTAAATACCAAATTCAGCTTTTAGAACATCTGTGGGAACAACAATACCTTCTTTCTCATAGACCTGCTGCAAAATCAAACTCCAATATTGTTTACACGGAACACCATTTCCAACATTCATATGTGAAATACTGGCACCAAACTCCTCCCATGGTTATGTTGCATAATCAATAGAAAGATCGTAATAAAGGCCAACAATCATAGCGTAAACGTCAAGTTTAGCTATATCAAGTCCCACCCTTCGACCCGTCAAGCAGCAAAGAAAAATCCCAAATAAGAAGTTCCACATACATGGTAAAGAAAACTTTTTAAAGTGACTTATCTTGGTGAGTGGGGGTTGACGACCTATCTCATTGAACATATGAATCACCTATTCATTGGTAACCTCATAATAAGGTTCAAAAGTGGGAATTTTCAGGATTTGAGTGAACTGTTTCTTCATAAGCTTTTGCTTCTTGTCATTGGTTAACTGGAATGTAACAACTTTGGAAGTCTTATTGAATACAACTGTTGATCCGGCAAAGATAACCATGTCATTGGAACGGAGAAAGAAGTAGTCATGACAATAGAAAGAATTGAGTGATTAAGAGAAATAATCAACATCTGCAATTCTTCTGGGTATTTCAGAACAACTCGTTGTACCCTGTAGTTTAAACTTTGGATCTTCAACAATGGTCTAGATGAAGCATCATCAGTTGTTTGAGAAGGATCAACATGAGTAGTTTCCGCCATTTTTAGGGTTTGAAGGTTTGAGAGAAAAAATTAGTATAAGGAAAGAGAATTGGGGAAAATCTTAAATTAGGATACGTAAAGTTTGAAATTGGAACCCCCTAAATACTTTAATACTTAGTTCTTAATTTGAATTTGAAACGGTTAGCAATAAATTCATGCCACGTGTTCCCTTTAAAAGTGGACCAGTTGCCTTAAAACTCATGACGGCTGAAAAGTGATGAGCACTTTTTCCTTGAAAACCGTAAGGCAACCAAACCGTTACATCAATCAATTGTTCCGCATGCCCCTATAGGATAATAACCTTCACAAAACCTTTTGATATTTCCATATTTATACATATTTTTAGGCAATATTTTAATATGTTTTTTATTAATATTTTGGTTAGTTGCGAAGATAAAAAGTACTTATAATATTGAATTGTATTTTGCAGCAAAAATGGGCATTCTTAAAGAAAAAGGGCTAAAAGAGATAAGTAATGGAACTTTAGAGGTTTGAATACTTAAATCCCAACGAAAAGCTCAACTCACACAGTGTACTTCACTTTCACCACATGGAAATGGTGTTTCTAGAAGATAAGTAAGTGAGAAGTCCGAATTCTTACCCGATAAGGATTCATCTGAATTCATGCCGTGAAGTTCTAATTCACGATGTGATGCGCAAAATGTCGAAAACTATATGTATAATTGGTGCTTACGAATTTGGGAGTTCATTTGGAGTTTGGAGGGTTTAGAAGACGATTTATAGAAGATAATAAGTCAGTAAAATTGGGTGTTAACATCCAAGGAAGAAGAAGAAGAAATTGAAGATCATAATATTTACCTTAACTTGGTACATTCAAACATGCTTTTATTAATTAAGTTTGATTTTTTGATTTTATCTATGAGTATATGAATGCAACTAATTTTGTTTAGCTAGATGAAACTTCAACTCATGGACTAATTTAGTAGTTATTGATTTTACTTGTTGGTTAATTGGTTTGTTGATTGTTAATACCTAGCATGCTAATATTTGATGCTTAAATTAGTTGAATTCATGTTCTGTGTAGCTTAGTGATTATTAACTTACAAGATCTTAACACTTAGTAATTTAGTGATCATTGAATTTCTAGAGCTAAGATCGATAAAATCTTAGATAAGTAATTAAAGTTATTAAATTCATTTGTGCTGGAGAACATATATTGTGACTATAATTGTGTTTGTTTAATAAATCTTACATGGCTCCACTACTAGAAAAATAGCCTTTTACGATGCTCATTGCGGGTCGTAAAAGGCTCAGACGACGCGCAAATGCGCATCCAGGAAGGCCCTGTCATAAAGAGAGACAACGCGCTTTTGCGCGTAGTCTATTTACGACGCGAATTTACGCCGCAAATTTATGACGCGCAATTACGACGCGCGTTTACCACACTCAATGCGTATCAAGGAAAGACCTGTCATAAAGGAAGACAACACGCATTCGCGTGTCGTAACCTTACGACGTGCGTGTTAATGACATGCAATGCGTATCAAGAATGACCCTGTCAAGAAAGGCCATGTCATAAATGAGGATGACACACATTTTTGCGTATCGTAATTTTAAATGTTTAAAAAAAATGTTATTTATAGATTTACCAATTTTCAAATTAAATTTGTATTTAATGTCTAATAATAGAAAATAAAATATCATATACAAAAAATACAATCCATTGCATAAAATTTAATGTCATACAAATAATCATTCCATGAAAAGATAACACAAATCAATAGAAATTGTAGCAAAAATTTACAAACTAATTAGATACAAAAAATACAATCCATTGCCCCTTTGCTTATTCAAGATCAACCTGCAAGTAGCTAACTAATCTTTACAAATTCATCCTTGTTCTAATCATTTTCTTAAATACTTTACAAACATTATTCATCCATAGAACCTTGACTATAGTTGCATCCTTGTTTCTTCTTCTTTTTCTAAACTCATCTCTGGCAACCATTTCTTTAAGCCTAGTCTGAATAGATACAACAACTCCTTGTCACTTATGTGAAAAAGACAACCGGAGTGGCATACCTTCATAATAGTAACATCATACCTTCATAATCGCAACAGTAAATTACTAGTTTGCCCATCCATCCAGAACGACTACACAAAACAATACACATGTTTCAGATGGCAACATAAGGGGTACTATTTTAGTCTTTTTAACAAAGTGATGATATTGAATTGATACCAGTGTAGAAGGTTTATCTACACCAACATTAAGAGCTGGAAAATACATCCATTCACCAGATTCCACCTCAATGTTTGAATCCTGAACAATTGAGAAATTTAGATATTTACGAACCTAAATAAAAATAAAAAATAAAAAAACAAGAAATTTACATGAGATGAAGATTGATGTCGATTATGCCATTCAGACCACTTCTATAATAAATCCTCAAGCTTCTGTTTACTCTCTCTGATACAAACATGTTATACACTTAAAACTTTATATAGAAATATCTTTAACTAATGTATATAAAAATGTGTGGTGTTTAAATAATTTGAGAATATAAACATGTAATTATGAAGCATTAAACAATATTGTGTTTTTCCTTTATACCTTTTAAAAGATATATAAATGCTTTCTTTTGCAACTTTAGATCCTTAGATATCAGCCTACATTTTCAATCTCAAAATAAAAAACATATAAATAAATTACAGTAAAAATAATTAAATGATCATTAAAAAAAATCTTTAATTATTACCTCATGTAGAGTAGGGGCATCATTTGTTCCATCTCCAGTAACAGCAACAACATGTCCTCCAGTTGTCTAGGTGAAAAGAAAGCTGGAATTCCATGCATTGACTGAAAAGCAACCTATCTCTGGAAACTAACCCAAAGTTGATTGTATTGTTCATTGCGTTCTCTGAGTTTAGCTTGCAATTAGTGAATTGTATTTGACTGCAAGGCATCCATCTCCTGAACACGTGCTATATTTTTCTATTATTTGTTAGCTAGTAAGCATATGTCATTATTCTATTGTTTTACCCTTTAGCAATGCACCATATGGATCATCAATGCCTTCTGGTACACTCTTTTTTCTTTTGTTTCGGTATATATAAAACATGGGTATTTTGGTCTTTTAATAAAAAAATGAAGAAAAAAATATAGAACCAAACCTGTTAAGTTACTATTATTATTGATCTGTTAAATGTGATCTATTGTAATATTGTGCTAGGCCCATTCATGGGACAACCACCTCCAAACATCCCGTCTCAACCTCAATCCAGGAATTTGACGAAAAAAAACATTATACTTAGCAATCATAAGTCGACTATGATTGTACAAATTACAAATTGGTAAATCATTGCAAGTCGATGAAATCTGATGCCTGTAATTGTATTATGAATCGATGGAAGAAAACATCGACTGACCTGAGTTGCGAGTATGGATTTTCGTAGAACTTTTACGAGAAATCGCCTTTTATAATTGGGGTAAACGAACTGGGATCCCCATATTTCATCCCCTGAATAAGTAATTGATGTTAGTAGTGATTCATGATTAATTAATAACTTATATTTCATCTCCTGAATAAGTAATTAATAACTTATATTTCACAAGTTCTGGATATATAGAAGGAAGGTTAAAAGGAAAGCTTGGCCATATTCAGGGGTATTTTTGGTAAATAATCGTCACCATAGTGAATTTATGGTAAAAAATCACAACTTATATTTCACAAGCTCTACACAATGTTCCTAGTCATGGCCATGTCCATTTTACTCCAAGAGGGTATTACTGTAATTTTGTGCAACATCATTAAAAGTGGACACTTAATTTAAAAAAACATTTAACAGAAGGCCACAAACCTGGAATGACAATGTTAGAGGCAATTTTAAAGAATGAGATTTCATTGACTCATTAAGTAGACTATTGACTGCTAATGGCCCAGTTATAGCCTTCAGGTAGAGAAGAAATGAAGTCATGAGCATAGGCTTGTTTGGCTGCATCCGCCCATCCTTTGTTCCTTAATTTGCCCACTAAATAACATCATCTAATATGATTAAAAACAAAAACAATTATTATATTCAAGAATGATTATTAATTAGATATATAAGTACACATCTATGACAAGGGTAGTTCTCTCTTCTATATGCCTTATGTATTTGTCTAGTAACGTGTGTTCTAATGAACTTATGTACAGGAGGGACGACATACCTGTGCAGAACCCATATCAAATATGTTCCCTGCAAATATTCCTTTGATCAAATTGAATGATGTAAATATGATATAGATGCACACAACACATATAATTGGTTTCAGGGATACCTGGTTGTGGGTTTCAGCACAACCAGGGACTACAATTCATGTGTATAATTTTTGATAGTTTAACAACAGCTACTGCATGTTGTTAATTTCCACGCCCATTATGTTTTCCATGTTTCCCAAAGATACAAAATTTTTAAAAAAATGGGTAAATTAGCATTTTCATATCACTTTTGTAACAAATTGTATCACGAGAACCAAATATGCAAGAAAGTAAAACCAGAAGGAAAAATAAATAAAGATTTCCATAGTTGTGCTCCCATACCATTTCTTGCAAATTACAGGGAGTAAAAGTATAATTTTGTCATGAAAAAAAGTAAACCAAAACCCTCTCCATATATAAAATTTTAGGTCTAAATAAAATCAAAACAAACCAGATAATAGAGAATTTAATAATTTGTTAATTGAACATGTAGTTGATGTGGATAAAAACATGATTAGAACATGCATATTCATAAGCAATTAAGTAAACCGAGTAATTAAGTAAACACACCCACAATAAAAGAAGAAAAAGAAGGAAAAAAAATATCAGTGTTTCTAACAAACAAGAAAATGACCTGCTGCATTGCTGACAAAATCGTCTTCTGCCACTCTTCCCTTCCCATATTTCCAAATCGTCTTCTATTATAGGGTACACTTGGCCTCCAAGATTTAAGTTAAGACCTCCAACTTCATCATCATCAAGAATCACGCGATTCTTGTTATAATTAGAAATAGAAATATTACTTTATTAACAATAGTTATAATTTATACACACGAATAAAAGAAACACAGATGATTTTTATTTAGCTCAGTTTCACAAGGCAAATTGAAGTTTTCAAACTATGATCTGCATCAGGCAGAAAAAAAAATAAAAATAAACCACAAAGCTAAAACAATCGAGAATTGAAGTACCTCTGATTTAGCACCAGTGTATTTCTCAGTAGCATTTGAAGCTTCTAGCACCTCAACGGCTGCATCTGAAGATTTGAGTATATCATTCGCAAAGGCATCGCTCGCTACGGTAAAAAACTCGAACATCCATGTTAATTGCTTTGACCCATTTCTCGATTTCAACATTGTTGTCGGCGTCTTCTAGAGGTTTACTCGAATTCTGTAACCCTAAAAAACCTAATCTCGATAGGCTTTCTTTCAAAAACTCCCTCCGGCAGGTGCTGTAAACAAGCGAGCATTCTTTTCTGTAGCCGGCAATGACCATCCTTTTTGCAATTTCATGCAGATCGCTGATTGTACCAGATGGAAGCGCCTTGATCGTGATGTTATAGTCTGACATCGGATGATCCAACGGAATCTCCACGTCATCGAATCCGTCATCTTCATCATCATCGGAATCTAAGTAACCACCAACACCACCTCCGACAGCGTTATCAGAAAATTCAGTGCCACCACGTCCGATTAAATCGCAAAGCTCTTAATCTCCTTGTAAGTTTGACATACGTATAATTTAACGAGCCGAAAATCATATTCTTGTGAGCATGAGGAGTCATAGGTAAGAGGTCTCACCTCGGTGAGGTGAGATGAACTCGAGGTCGCTAGTGGGAAGAGTTGAGCGGAGGTCTATGGAGGTAAGAGGTGAGCAGATGTAGCGATCCTTTTGAAAAAACCCTAAATCCCTTACGATTTTATTATAAGACGAACATTACGCGTAGTCTGAGGCCAGAGGAGGCAACGAGGATTGGAGGCGGTGAATGTGGGTGAGGGTCGGGGTCGGGGTGGAGACAAGGGAGAAGAAGCGGGGGTTTAAAAAATTTGGGGATTTCATTTTCCCTCTAAAAGGGAGATGCGCGCTTCTTAAAAAAATATAAAGCGACATTCATAGAGGACGCACGTTTTAGAAAAAGTGCCCTCCGTGTTTTTTTTTTTATTTTTTTACAATAGACACTAATTAAAGGGCAGGCAATAATGCGTGACTTAAACCCTTAATTTTTTTTGAAGAGATGACACTTTTTTAATGTCACTCTCTTTTGCGTAACATAAATCAACGAGTGTCGTGGTTTGCACGTCGTAAAAGGCTATTTTTCTTGTAGTGCTCCATTCATAATTCATAATTGATTATGTGTGACCATGCATAAATCTACATAAATTAGTTAAACATTAGTATATCTGGACTTACATTAATAATAATATAATAATTGGTAACCAAAATGAATTATCCATAATTAGTAGTTAACCATTGAGGAGAAGTTGATTCAAACTAAACAGAAGTGTTTTTAGTCATTGATTGAATTTTATAGTTCAGTGAACAAGTTTGTCTGAACTTGTAAAATCGGATAAAACCCAATTACTTTTGCTTTTCTTAGATTAATTTTTAGTAGATAAATTAGTAAATTAAATGTGTTCCCTGTGATCGATACCCGACTGTTTCTGCTATAATATTTGCGAAAAGGTACATTGCCTTTAGTCAAATGACTAGTTAGATAGTAGGAAAAATTAGGTGTAGTAATATTTAAACATCATCACCTTCGTTACAAGGCTGGGCTCATTCACTTTTGGGTTAGAAATGAAATCATTGCCAGACTTTCGAAATCTAGGTTTGGGTTGGTAATACCCAAGACCTTGCAGATTTATGTGCTATTGTGTGCCAACGAAATAGTGGGAACCAAGATAAAAAAAATGTTCGAATAGTGACATCAAATGATCATTTGATGGAAAAGCGGATGGATCCCATGCAAAGATCACATCATTCAATATCAAGAGAGATATCTAACTACATGTGTGGTTTTCCATGAATTACAATTCAATACTTGTAAAGAAGTATCGAAGGGCTTCTTTTACATAATCTTCGAAGGTAGGCACAATTTTGTTCATGATTAAAACTTAACAAAAGTGTGAAATCAGTGATCAAAATTACTTGTGTGACAAGTGTAATTAGTGAAAAGTTAAGGCTAGATAAATGTGTAAGTGACGAAGAAACGAATAGATATTCAAACAAAAATCATATTTCAAAAACGAATAAGTGTTGGATCCTATTGGGAAAAATGTCTTGGGATAAGATCATTTTATCAAGACCACTTAAATCGAAATAAAAATGATTTTGAATATCGAAGAAAGGTATAAAAACAATTGTTTCGTTAAAACATTGAACATAAAGTTCATCGTCAATTCTAGCGACCAAAAATCCAGGGTAAAATTTTCATTATTCGTGATAGTCATACACAAATGTTACTTAACTGAACCATTCAAAAACATGATTAATTAAATTACTTATCAGAGTTACATCCCAAAATCACATAATGCGGAAAACACAGGTGTGTATGTGCTGCAATCAAGCTGGACCCATCCTAACTGCATAAACCATATCAATCACATAAGCCATATCTATCATATAATCCATATCAATCACATAATCCATACCAATCACATAAGCCATATCAACCACATAAGCCATATCAATCACATAAGCCATGCATATGAACATACAAGGATGACCTGGACACCCTCCAGGGTCTTACTCCTGGATACCATGGACACCCCCACATGGTCTTACACCTATGTGAATGGCAACCCCCCATGGTCATACTTGTAATGCCATGGGCACCCCCACATGGTCTTATAACCAAGTGACATGAGCACCCTCCAAGGTCTTTACCTGTAATGCCATGGGCACCCCCACATGGTCTTATAACCAAGTGGTATGGGCAACCCCATGGTCTTTACTAGGAATGCCATAGGCACCCCCCACATTTTCTTACAACCAAGTGTCATGGGCACCCCTATGGTCTTTCATGTAATACCACAGCAACGGCTAGCATACCACAAAAAATATAACAAACTAGTATACCACATATCACTACATCAACCGGTGTACAACATACAACAAAATGGGTCAGCCTTGGTGTCTTCGACCCATTAGTATGGTGAGGAGAATCACCTTACACTACTGAAGTCCTGCAGATAAACTATAACTGTTGGACGACACACTCCCGACGTGTCCCTATCAAAACAACACCCAATTAACCATCTGGTTTTCAACGCATAACCATAAATCCACATTTGGGGTAAATAGACCATTTTACCCCTAACCTAGCTTGGTTCAAAACCAAGGCTCAAACTCACACTCTGAAGGCCCAAAAGACAAATAATCAACCAAGGCACAACATATGGCCCAATTTTCCAAATTGGGCCCAATCCTCTACATGGTCTTACCTTAAGGCCCAACCATTTATTCTAATCCAAACACTTAGCATTCTGATGGTCCAATTGCTCATACTTATTAAGGCACAATTATGGCCCACTTATGGCCCAATTTTCCAAATTGGGCCCAAGCTTTTCCAATGGGCCTTATTCTAAAGCCTAATAATTTCCTTAGTCCATAAACCTCTTCCCAATTGGCATGCGAAAGCCCACAACAACTTAGTCCAAGAAATGATCCAACAAGAGCCCAAACACCTAAACCAAAAGAAGGCCCAACTTGAAGCCCAATCATAATTAGGGTTTTTCACATAAAAATGCGATTAGGGTTAAGTGGTTTTACTTAACCCATTAACAACTTAATCCATTAAGTCCATCACCCCACTAGGCCAAACGTACAATGTAATCGAGCATAAGTCGTAACATCAATCTAGTGGTCTAAAATGCGAGTCCCAACAAATCCAAAACTAGCATTTTCAAAAATAGGGTTTTTTAAACCCTAATTAGGGTTTTCAACCAAAACACGTGCCTGTTACTCCATTGGATAAGTTTTTAGGTCAATTTATGTTACATAACTTGGGCACCACCCACTACCACCTCGGGTAGTGGTGGTCAGCGGCGTTCCGCGGCGGCAGCCACCAACTCGTGGTTATGATGGTTGTGGTTTTAGACAAAAACAACACCGAAAGAACTCCAAAAAATAGTCCAAACACACCCAAATGCATATAGCCACCGGAGACGGTTGCTAGCGATGGAAGAATAGTGGTAGTAGGTAGCAGCCACCACCTCACGGTGGTGGTGGCAGGCTTTCCTCGGTTTTCCTGCCAAATATGGTTCATAAAACAATGCAACACCGACATCAACATATATAATAGAACATACATCCACTCATCTACTTCCCATACGACTGACGTTGCTGTAAAAATACGAGAACAATGGCCAAAGGCCACCAGCGGCAGCAGCGATGCACCTGGAGTCGAACATGTAGAGAGGGACGGTGAAGAGGAGAGATGTTAATCTTCTCGAGAAACTTTTGTTGCATAGGACCCATATTCCGCCATTTACAGCTTCTTCCTTTGGTCTCAGTGGTGTCTCTGGCTTCTTATGATGTCACCGACAGCAGGGGCTGTGGTGGTGGTGCTCGAAGACAACGTAGCAGAGGGGTAGGGCGGCGGTCAGACTCAATAAAGTAGGTGGCAGACCAGCAATGGTGGTAGCTGAAAATATAGTTAGGGTCAGGGTAAATACAATGGAAAACGAAGGGAAAGGGATAGGGGTTAATCCCATGTCTCATTTCAAACATTTGGCCATTATTCCAATATTAGTCCCTCCTCCCAAGATCTTTTTCAATTTAAACCCATAATTTACCCTTTAGTCGCTGCCTCCAAAAACCCTTTTATAATAAATCCAAAATTACCAATTAGCACTAACGTCCAAAAATCGATTCAATTTAAGTGCAATATTTTACCCAACACCCCCTGACTTCTGAAAATCTCTACATACCAATCCAGAAATTACACTTAACCCCTAATATTTAAAAGTTATGACTTTCAACCCCCAGAACCGACACCCTGCTAAATTATTATGGATTTTAGGATTACTATAAAATAATATAAAATATAAATTTACATCTTGGGGTTCATGATTTATTATTTAATTACTCAATTTCAAACGGAATGTTACAAATCTCCCCCACATAAATTAGATTTTGTCCTCAAAATCATTCCTCACCACTCGTGACACGCCAAATAACATGAGCAACACAACCACTACCACAAGCATACCCCAGCCTTTCCAAGGCAACCAAAACCAACCCTCGTAGTGTTTTAAAAGCTGAAGATGAATGAATTCCTTGTAACATGGTTACATTTACTAAGTCTAAAATCTGAACTCTCGAGATGGTCTGTCCTCCAAATAGCTACACAACTTCTGATGACTTGAGATTCCCACTAGAAAACAGAGTTACATACCAAATTTCCCTATAGTACACTTGTACTTGATAGAAAACTCGGATAATTCTTCGAGTAGGAGACTTATCCCTACAACGATTAAGACCCAGAAAAGAGTTGTGCAACATGGTAAAATCAACCACTCTGAGATTATTTAATCCGACTGCAAACAACTTAGGGTATACCCTGAATACAAGCAACTCCACACATGAATCCCAAGTCATTGAAACCACTTCAACTCTTCTTACTACTAGTTGCTGCTTTTCAAAAACAGCAAGACCTCTCTAATTCCACTTTATCTGTCAATTACTCAAAACATCGGACACTTAACCGATTATTGGGCCAAAACACACACACAACAGTCCCACGCGACCTCCGATGGATACCTCGTCTAACAATAACTGCCCTATCTATACTGTCACTCATGGATACTTCAATCCTTTGATCCATCCGATCATGATAGGCTGATAACCTGTCGCCACTAAATCCGACACAAAAAGGTGAACGCTACGAGAATAACTGTAGTCTTACATCATACTCGGTCTCTTTCGACCTACCATTTCATGATTCTAATTATGTTGTGATCTACTCACAACCTTGTGAACTGGCCCACCCTGGCCTAAGTCATCTGAACAAATCCATGAATGCCACGGCTACCCTACAGTCTTTTTACACTTCCCACACTATCTAACTGCTTGTGGAAGCTACAGCTACCCCGTAGTCTTACCACACTTCCCACACTCTCTGACCACTAGTGAATGCTACAGCTCCCCCTCAGTCTTACAACACTTTCACCCTAACACAATTGCAACGCAATTCCTGAACCCTAATCTATCAATTCGAAATGTACACAGATTCGATCACGCACTCAACTGAACACCTAAACTAAACTCAATTCATGACTGAGAACCCAACCTAATTCCCAAATTCTACTGTCAAGTACCAAGAAGACACAGTTCACATGCTGGGGAGTTTTACCGAACTCCCAACCTGAACTTAATTTATGACTGACACCCCAACCTGATTCCCCAAATTATGCTATCAAGCACCAAGAAGACACAGTTCACATGCTGGGGAGTTTTACCAAATTCCCAACTCACGCAACCCTATAAACCAAACAACCAATTGGGCCCCCTCCTCCTTGATGAGGATGCGAATCTCATCCTAGTTTCATAACCACTCTTGTTACTGAATATATGAATGATTCTCCCCCACTTAAAATTGACTAAATTCCCAACGCACACTAAAATGGGAGAATTTCCCAATCCCTCTTACCTTACAACGATCGACCGGGTGACAACTAGCAATTACCAACTAGTGCTCCATCACTAGCCAATCCCCCAAAGACCACACGACTTCTAAAGACTAGATGAATACCTCTTGGATCCGACTGAAACCGACACCCCTAATGCTTGAAATGATACCGCACCCAAAGATTGAAGACCAAAAGATAGATGCTCCAACCAATACCACATCAACGAGCCACTTCCCTTGGTGCTTCCATCAACCAATCAATTACGGTTACTAAAACTAACAAATTGTGACGAGGTTGAATATCCATTCTGTAGAACTCTGTCCGTAAGCTTTCCTCTTAATACCCCTGAACCGATCTCGACAATAAACGAGAATAATACTAAACACTCTCAACCCGCAAATAGGTAAATGACCTTTCGTTAACCACTATTAATTCACGACATGCAAATGGCATGTGAAAATCCTTGATAACTCAAACAATAGCAGAGAACTGACCCGAGAGCTAACTTATTCAAAGTTGATCAAAATTCCAAAGTGATAAAAATTCCCGATATTTACTTGAAGTGGCAGGAGATAACATACCTGCAAACATCTTAAGAAGTTCTGACCACCTCAAGAGTTACCTCGAACATCCTGAGGACATGGTGCAACACCGCCTTTTGGTTCCAATGATAGGAACTAACAATAGGATCCTCCTTCCTGAAGAATTCTAGGGATCCACATGCTTTGGCTCCAGATGAGCCTCTAACTGCCCCACGACAATCTCGGTCCAAAAGACCCCAAGATGACTATCGAGAGCTCCCAAAATCCCTTCCTTGGATGAACGAGAGACCACCGAGGTCCATTCCAAAACTTTGTGAGTAATATCTGATGAGATGAACTCCCGCGATCACGCATCGATTGGCCTAGGTGCTGGTCCTAAGTTGGAGCCAAAATCTGGATGCGATTCTTGAGTGTTCTAAATCACTCACCCTCTCTGAGGCTCTAGAAATCATATCATTCAGGGTCTCACTCCCAATACTCACCAACTCAATCATCCACGGCTTAACTGCAATAGCTGAAGAAACCTCTG